TTTCTCGGACTCCCAGAGTCCAGCTGCCTAGTAGCACAACAATCCGCTTCTACTCGAGAAGCCTAGTCTATGATGCCGGTAGACATCCCGAATCACACAGATTCGTTTCTTGACCACTCAGGTCATCCATCTACCACATAGGCTGATTCTGGTAACGATTCCCACACCACAACAACTTTTCACAAAACACAGGCAAACAAATCTACGCTACAGGAAACACCTCACATCCGCCCATGACCGCGGGCACGGCTGTTCGAACAGTTAGTTAACCTCTGCAGAGGGGGTACACTTTACCCACACGACATTACTAACCCGGATCACCCAGCCCGTGAGATCAGCCACGTCGGGAGACCTTAAGGCTTTCATGACAAGGCATTTCGAAAGCCGACACAGGTTCACCATATGCCAACGAGAGGGGTCCCAGACCAACACCAGATTAGGTCCCAGACCATACTGTGCCAGGAAGCCCGAGGGTTCTCCCCGACACCACCCCGTTGAATCCACAAGTCTCTTGGCATCATGGCTCCCCCGATTAGCTAATTACTCAGCCAGGGGCGTCCCATTGCACCCGTGTGGTCGCACTTATTATATGCTCGGATGAATTTCCCACAGGAATCGGTCCTTATATGCGAATACAGGACAGTACCACATAGGCACAACCCCCGCATCGTGAGTTTTCACAATCTATTTTGTTTTCAAACACACCGACGCCACATGTCGGGTTTTCAAGACTTCTCAAACCCATTTCCCAAATTATCGACAAACAACGGTGTATGTGGAATAGTTAGTATACGCGCTCAGAGAACATGGATACCGAAGTACCACAAAGGTGGAACGACAAGGAATCAGGGTAGAACAACCTACAGGAATTAGTGCGACTACTGGGTAGGTCCGTCGGTTTGGCACGCAAACCGAGGCCAAGCAAGTTAAGTGTGTGATTCTACTAATGCAAGTTGCAAACAAAATAATAATGATTTTCCAATTATAGGATCAATTGGTCAAAGGGTGACTTGCCTCGCTCAAGGTCTTCACGGAGCTTCACGAATCTTCGAGAAAACCCGCGATCGACAAAAATCTGATAACCGCAACTATACGCAAACAATCGAAAACCTAAACAAAAGACCAAAAGAAAGATCCTATTTAGACTAATTAGTAGTGCCATTAGATAGATCTCAATTTTAGAGAATTACTGGAAGTGTAACGGAGTCAATCGGAGTTACGGATCGAGAGATATGAATTTGAAGTTTATTTGGAATTTCTGGAATAAGAGGAATGGTTTATGGAATTTATAGAAATAATATTCTCAAGAATATTATTGACAGTCACAGACGCGCGGGACCAAAGGAAATGATTTATGGAATTTTGGGAATAAGGAATTGATTTATGAAAAAGGGAAAAGGATTTATTAATCCTTTGGATAAGAAAAGGAAGGAGGGATGGGATTTAGACTTCCTTGGGCGGCTCGGGTACGGCCCAAGGGATAAGCACGGCGCGGCCGAGCCAATGGGCCGGGCGCGGGCGCGAGGAGGCGGCCCATGGCCGGGCAAGGCGCGGCCCAAGCGGGCGGGGCGTGCGGGAGGAGAGAGGGGGATGGGTCCGGGTGGACCGGATCCATCGTGCTGGGTCTCGGGACGGGCCCACGAGTCAGCGACTCGGCGCACGGGGGAAAGGTTCATGCGGCGCGGGGTGCTAGGGTTTTGCGGACGCGGCTCACGGCGCGGCGCGCGGGTGGACCAAGAGGTGGAGGGCCCATGTGCAGCCTAAGGGCTCTCCGTGGACCGCGCGCACAGAAGAAAGGGCGGTGGGGGCGGCTGACTAGGTGCTTGACCTGGTTGCGGCCGATGTGGCGCCGACGTGGCGCCTTCGTGGCAGCCATGCGGGCCGGCGAGAGGAGGAAGAAGGAGGCCGGCCGAGACGGACGGCGGACGGCGGCAGCTTCACCGGGAGCACAACCCGACGATTCGAGAGGGAGGGAGTACACCGGAACGACGATACAGAAGGAAGGGGGTTGATCCACTGGCTCGGATTCACCGGAAGGAGGCCGGCGACGACGAATCGCGGCGGCGCTTGCCGGCGGCGGCTAAAGAGGGAAACGACGACGATGCGACGAGAGCTCGATTCCTAGGGACTTGAGCATCTACGAGACCTCCAGAGTTCATTTCTAGAGTCGGATTGGGTGGAGCTACACCGAGGAAGGCCGGCGACGAGCAGCTACTACCGAGTTTGGGCGGCGACGGTGGCGAGCCTACGGCGAGCAGCTGCGGCGGTTGGGGCGGCGCCAGCTTGCTACTGGAAGGCTACTCGCACTACTGCCCAGAGCTAAGGAGAGGAGAGGGAGCGAGGAGGGAGAACGGGAGATGCACTACCGAGCCGAGACGGGCGCTGTGTCGAGCGGCCGACGACGCGGGAGCGAGCTCTCCGGCCTCGGGCCAGGGAAGGGGAAGGAGACAGTGCCTGGAGTCCCGCGTCAGCTCCTCGCGCGCACGCCGGCTTCACCAGCACGCGCGATGGAGGAGGGAGGCGAGGACGGCGGTAGCAAAGCGGCAAGGGCACGGTGGTGGCGAGGGAATGAACGAGAGGGAGATGGGGCGGCTCGGTTTAATAGATGGCAATGTCGGTTTAGGGAGGAAGAACCGACATTGGCGGTCAAGGAGGAGGAGCTGCGGTGAGCTGGTGCAGTCGCACGACCAGCGTCCGCGCTTTGGCCGCGAGCTGCTGGGACCATGGATGACATCGGCGGTGGTCGGGAAAAAGGGGAAAGGAAGAGGGAAATGAGGGCTTGACCCTTGCCGAAACGGGAAAAGGAGGAGGGAGAGGGGAGTGAGACAGGGGCTGCCTCTCTCGGCCTTGGAAGCTAGCGGCGTGGAGCGGCGGAGCGGCAGCGCGGCAGGGCACGACGCAGGCGGCGCCAGGGTTTGACGCAGCGGCGACCGGGGCGTTGGCCACGCGCGAACCCGCGCGGGAAGGGCGAAGGCGGTGGTAGCGGCGTCCTTGCTGGTCGGCCATGCGCGAGCGCGCGGGAAATGGTGATGCGGCCGGAATTTTGGGGCGGCGTCGGCGGGAAGCGACGCCGAGAGAGAGAGAGAGAGAAAGGAGACGGCGCTGTCTCTCGCTCCCGAACACGTGCGACGCACACGCGAGAGAGCTGGGCCGAGAGGAGGGGATGGGCCGGGAGATAGAGGAATCAGCCCATCGACAAGGGAGGCAAAATAGACTTTTGCTGAAAGATTTTGATTTGGAGAGATTTGGAGTTTGGGTTTTGAATCTAAATTTGATACTTTGTACACAAGGGTTCAAGGAGTCAAGGAAGGAAACAAAACGGGAGTTTGGATATTTTGGGATTCGGAAATGTATTTGGCGAGGATTCAAAGGAAGGGATTGACTTTCGGAATTAGATTTCGGAGACTTGAATTGGAAGAGGAAATTTGAGGCGGAGGATTTTGATTTCGATGAGAGGGAACAATGGGATTTGAAACCGAGATCCATGGCACGACTTAGACTCGCACTCAAAGGACAAAATTTTTCACAATTAGGATTTGCCGAATTAGTTTTTAACGTCTCACGAGAAGCGGAGCGTTACAACAACGGTGGTGGCTCCCGAGCCCTCCCGCCCGCCGCTCACCGCTCATCCTTGCTCGACTAATCACTTGCCGAAGAGAAGAGAAGAGAAGAGAAAAGAAGAAAAGTTGAGGGAGAGAGTTGATGGAGGTTGACAGTAAACTTGACGGCAGTGGCATGGGTCTGATTTTTCTAAATTCCTGTGGCACGTAACCAATATCGTGAATAGTAGCGATATTTTTCTAATATGGGAAATTTGCATTGGCATGGATCCAATTAACCCTATATTAATAGAAGAGGGTTTATACATAACCAAAAGTTAAAGAAAAGAAGAAAGAATTGTACTCGCTTGATTGCAAACATCCTTGCATGTCAATCCTCCTCGCTTCCCATGGCAACAACTCAATATGTTGTGCGGTGGGCAAACTCCAACAGCCCAGCTCCTGAATGCAGTTAACTATTTTGGTGGACTGTTGCTTGTTGTTCTCTGAAAATGTTTGCATTTATTTCTTTCCAAATTTCCCAAGCGATAAGCAAGAAAACTGATTTGAGAGCTTTGTGTTTTCTTGTTTCTGGGTTATTTGTTCTTTGTATCCACCAATCAACAAGTCTTTACTCGTATTCCACCTCAAGATGATGTGTGCTTGCAGTAGCCACATGAGCCCACCGAACCGAATTTACGCTGATACTGAGCATTCGAACAGTAAGTGGTCAATGGTTTTAAGGTTTCGGAAGCATAGTTAGCTGAAGTAGTTATTATGCCACCCCTTGAGTTGCAAACGGGTGTCCATACCCTATTTTGTAGTGCGAGCCGACTGAAGATCTTGCATTTGGCTAGGGGCCATGCCTCCCAAGACAGTTTTGTTTATGGTGAGATTTCATTCCGTTGAATTGGTGAACTTTGCACTATATATTTTCCATTAGTTATCCATTTCCAAACGATCAGATCCTCCACTCCTTTAGTCAAATATTTTTTTTTGGGTTGGGGGGGAGGAGGGCGGGGAATACTTTGGGCAGCAATATATCAGCTCATTTCGATCTGATGTGAAGCAAATTGTGTTGAACAAGAATAACTAAACCTACATCATTTGGCACTATGTACTGCTGGCACTGATAGTATGCTCTTGTCAGTTCCAAGACAATACTGATCAGTTGGGTGTCTGTTTATTTGCTCTACTTCCTCCTGTACAGATTCATGTTATTAGGATAATTTATGTTATTAGGATATATCGTATCCCATATTAAATTTATTTATCTTGAAACGAAAATAGAATGGCTCAGCCGGCAGCCTCACCTAGATTAGCAACGTACTCCTCCCTAAAGTCTAAAGAGTAGTTAACACCATGTGTTTAATCAATTACTCCATCCGATTTCAAATAACTGCTATTATTGTAATTTTAGCTTGACCATCAATAAAAATTTTGAATGATCAGATCATAATGTATGAAAGCTTGACAATTATATTTAGGGTGCAACACTTTATCGATATAGGATACTCTTAGGTATTTATACATTTTCTTCGAATAAGAGTCAATTTGAAAATGAATACTACATCCATCGTTAAATACATTGAACTAAACCGACGTCATTAAAAAACAGAGAGAGTATTATCCAATGACAAGTAATTGAATACAGAGGGAGTATCTTGGTAATAATCCCTTTGGTTTAATTATTTACGTGGTGAAAATATAAAGACTTGCCCGTTAAACACCATGCATCCCGAACAGCTTAAGCACCCCGTACGTGACCGCCATGGCGAGCCACCCTCCCACGAGCATCCGGACGCCGGAGCGCGCGACGCCCGCGCCGCCGAGGTACGCGCTCGCCACGCCGAAGCCGGCGAGGCCGAGGCTGCTCGCCGCGCACACGGCCGCGACCCTGGCCGCCCACGGCCGAACGAACCCGCCGGCCAGCAGCGGCAGCGCGGCGCCCGCCGCGAACGACAGCGCCGAGGCGACCGCCGCCATCGTTGGGCTCGGCAGCTCCTCCTCCTCCTCGCCGCCGTCGGCGTCCTTGCCGCCGCGCGCGCGCTCGATCTGGGCCGCCTGGATGTCGCACTGCGCGTACACGGACACGAACTCGCCGATGGCCATGCTGCACGCGCCGGCCACGAGGCCGGCGAGGCCCGACACGAGCATCGCCCTCCTGGTGCCGTTGGCGGCGCCGACGCCGACCATGAGGGACGCCACGGAGACGAGGCCGTCGTTGGCGCCGAGCACCGCGGCGCGGAGCCACTGGGCGCGGGCCACGTAGTTCACGCCGCCGCCGTCGCCCGGCCGGCGCCCACCAGCCGCCGCCTCGACGTCGTCGACGACGACGGGGGCCGCCGTGGGATCCGCCGTCTCCTCCTGTTTCGTCTCTGGCGATGCACAGCCGACGTGACAACCAAGGTCGATAGCCATGGTTGCAAAGAGTAGTGCAAGATCAACGACAAGCTGAGCTAAGCTAGCTTATTACAAATGGAGATTGAACTGGGAATATTGGAGCTTGCATGGAGTCATGGAGAGGTATTTATAGCGAAATCGCGATCTTTTTGTTGTACCATGGGAAAAAGTTGGCACATTTCAGAACGCAGTAACAAAATGTACCTATAATACGGAGTAAATGAACGTATACATGGATGTGATCGTGAGCGTTGAAACGTTTGGTGTTGATCGAGATTTGTGGTGTAAACGACACTCCTTGGATCGATCGGGCGAGGATTAAGAATGCGCACATTTTGCACAGAGAGTTTCTATTCCAATCAGCGACGTCTTGCATGGTCCAGAGGCATGGCGCATTGGCGCGACGTTTGTAATGCGAGCATTTTTTTTTTAGTTTAGTTGTGGGCGAGGGCGTGGCTTTGTGCCTTCCATGAGGGCGAGAATAAAGCTAGCTACTCCGGTGTCCGAGCACGGCTTCGCTCGGGAACACATGTGTTGGATCGTCCTGCGCTCGCCGGTGCAGTGGGCGGCCACCGATCCTGTGTTTTTCACCGGTGCAGTCGACGTGCCGAGCTCTTTCTTCCGGCCGGTGACTTTCCAGATATTAATACTGCAATATTTGGCTCCCGTGTCTGTGTGGCCCGAAGGAAAACGTTGTACTACTGTATCTGATATCTCACTTTTAAAGAGGTACGGTATAAACAAATGTGCTCGCATACACGCAGTCACACTTGCATCAATTAGATTGATGTATCTTTTGATATTGACAAACTCAGTACGGCCGCTTGTTGTTTATGGTACAGTATTTTATCATAAAAAATAATTAACCGTAAATATTATTTTCTCATCAGTTTGTGCGTTAAGGCTTTCGGCTGCACCATCTAATGCATGGAGTATAAAGTCTAGTGTACTACCAACTTTGGAGGCCAACCCGGAGCGATGTCATTAGTGATCCATGCAAATGAAGGCGTATACAATACTGGCACGCATTTCCAACTTATGCACCGTCTCACCTGATGTTCCCTCGATTTAGACTGCTAATCGACTGATAAACAAGGAAATGACTCGTTCTGGAGTGCGTCCATCAGGTTGCGCGCCATCCGTGGCTTGCATCAATGACTTCGGTGCTCCGATTTGCTTGTTGGCGTTTTGTCCCAAGTCTGTATCGGTATTAACTCTAACCGTGGGAGTTGTTGCAGTTTGCCCCTTTGAGTGATTTGGACTCGCTGATTCAAGGGATGTGCCAAACGGTCGGAAATAGTCGGAAACGGTATATTATTTTATTATTTTCTTCGAAAACAAACGGAAACGGTCGGAAAATTTTTATATTTACAAATTCATCTATTTAGAGCCAACTTCAATGTCACGCTGACAGAAATTAAAAAAACTAAATTTTGAAAACGGTAACATCGGTAAAAAAATATTATTATTATATTAGTTTTGCGGAAACGGTATCGGTACGGTCGGGAAATTTTCATACCGTTTTCATCCCTAGATGTGCTCCAGTGCAGTGCTCTCACTGAAAGTGAAAATGTGAGATGCTTCTCATCGCGCAATCTTTTCAGGAATGATGCTTTAGCTGAAGGAAAATGGTACATGTTCAAAATAATTCTTACAAAAACTGAAACTGATGCGACATATTGTGAGTAACATCTTACTTTTCCGTAACCACCAACTGATTGGATACAACAAGTAGCGTATCCAGCAGAATGGAGCGAGTTGTGTCTCACTCAAAGATGCATGCTGTTTGTTCACAGAGACGTCTCCCTTAAGAAAGGTCGGCGTCACGAGAGGGAAACGGGAAGAATAAATCGGATCCACTGCCCAAGTAGGAAGTGCTAAAAAGCTCGCCGGGATGACAAATTCCAGAACAATAGGATGGCACGGGATACGAACATAGAACAAGCTGAGAGCAGAAAATTCAACCTTACAAAAAAATTCGAGAAAGTTCATGTCACATATCCATTCAAGCACACTTCACGCATCAGAAGAACAAAGAAAATAGGACGGTATTTACAAGTGCAGAAAAAAAAAAGAGCTCAAGACTTAAAAAATTTGTAACAATAAACAAACAGTTTGGTATATTAAGAGCAGTAAGGTAAGAGCTAAAATAGAATAAATAAACAGGTTTAGTATGATTACATAATCCCACACGTACGCACACGGTGATCATCATATACTTCCAGCAGGATGCATGTATCCGGTTGGTTTTGCTTGCATACAAAACACTATGAACAAAGGTGGATCATGATCCTGCTTGAGTTTAAGAATGAACGACTTGTATATCCTCATTTCATAACAAGCGCCGGTTGACAGTTATACACATGGAGATGCCCGCGGTAAGAACATCTCTTACCACACAACCTCCTTAAATGGTTGGGATACTTCACCAGCTATGTTAAGAATGGCGCAAGGATTTATCCAATGACTCTTGCATCCTTGATCTACTACGGGCAAGCAGGTTCTCCTTTATTTCTTTAAAAGATTCAAGCTCCTCGAGCGCATCAGATGTCCTACGGGACATGAAAGAACTGACATTACCTCCTTCAACAGATTCAACCCTTGATGTAAGAGGTGAATTGCTAGAGTCTCGCAGCGGCCGCGCAGACTTCAGCATGTGGACAAGATAACCCACAGCAGCATCCTGTGATTTATGGGATGATGAGCTCGCTTGATCCCCCACATCCTTTCCACCACTGCTCCTGTAAAATAAATACAGTGGAAGTTTGAAATAAACATATCTTTTTGCTAATTGACTATCTCTAATTAATAAAGTGAAAAAGGTTACTGATCAAAAACATTGTATATGACATATGCAGGATAGTAAACAATGCTTAACTACATATTGGAATTGGATACAGAGGTCGGGAAATTGGATTGGGATGTGCAAAACAGTGGAAGCTGGTATATGGTGAAATATAACGAGGATGGAGCCCTTCCGTTGCTAATGTGCTAAGGAGGAGGCGGGCTTATGGGCTGAGCGACTACCAAGAAAGGATAGAATGGTGATCTCGCTTTGGAAAAATTGTTTTCTTCCCCTCTCAACACTCTAACTAAATTGTAAACTCCATGTACTACCCTAACCCCTTTCAATGAAATGAATACAGGTGGGGAAGTCTTCCCTCTGGTGATTTGATCAAAAAAATAAATAATAAGGATGGAAGAGTTCAAACATACCCTGGTCGGGAATCAGGTGTATCAACATCATCCACCGCAAAAGGAAAATCTAAATCATCAGTATCATCCTGCATTGACAATCTGCTTGAACTTCTTGAAAACCCAAGCCGTGGGGAACCACTAGAGGAAAAAACACCTGAGAATCTGCCAGATTCATCCCTACTATCCTTAATCTTAATCTGCATATCGGCCAAAAAGATGCATGCTTAGTGAGCATAGACTGCACTTGATCATTGGGGGGCACAAAATCTTACTTTTGTGGAATTCATTATGGTGTTACAGAAGGAATGCAATAGGCAAAAAGGAATTTGGAATGGAATTACATAAAACCCAGAACTAGAGCTAGTACCAAAGCAGGAACTGCTGTTTTTCAATCAACTAGATGGATCTCATCATCAAATACATTATAACATGAGTACAGAAATAATCACACAATCAGCTCATTTAACACTAGACATATTAGTCCTTGAATAGCTACGATAGGCATGTTTTGTACAAGTATCATGTTGAGGAAAACAAATCTGTCAGTTAGTCTAATGAGACTAAAAGCTACTACTAACTGTAGTGTTAGTTTAACACAGCTCATATAGGATTGCCAAAGCTCAAAAGAAATCAGTTTTCACTTAGCCATGAGCTTACTAGCTCATTTTTGCATCGTATAATTTCTCGAAAACCAAATGCACATCACAAGTTTAAGACCTGTCATCTTTTGGCAGTGATTCATATACTATAGTATAAATATTGTTGTAAATGTTCGTACAACACCATAACACTCCCAAATTTGTGGATAGGATCAACTTCGCCGATGATCATATCCATAATAATTCACATCTGCCAAATATGCATAATCATGTATACTAATTTGTGGACAGGATCAACTTCTCTGATGAAAATTGTCAGCCATCCTACTGAAAGAAATAGTTTTAATAGTTGCATAAACAGTTCTATTCGTCTGTAAAAGACATCCACGTCATATTCCGCAATTGTGCTATATATGATCCTAAAATGGATATGATGTAACATCAACGAAGTCCTCATGAAAACAATTGAGCCCTATCCTCTATCCTCTATCCTCTATATGGGATGATAATCATCCGATCAGACCAAAGGTAGTAAAAAGGATGTGCAACATACCAACAACCAACGTAATGATAAAGACCTATAGCCCTCAGACCATGCAAATTATATTCTACCAAATGCCACACGGAGAGTGAAATATACTGAATAAAGATATTAGTTATAATCATAAAAAATGAATAAGCCGCAGGTTTAGCCGCCAACAAAATAGTTGAGCTCTAAGGCTCTAAGGTGTTGCTCTTAAACACAGAATCATGATGAATGAGCAAAATGCATTACATTGTACTCTAGCGATTTTCAAAACAATTCCATAAAGATGAGACTTTTTATAGTTTGTGCTTTCAAGTTTCAACTATGCACACACAGACATTATTCAACAAATGTACTAAAGTCAGGAATCACCTTAGGAACAGAAGGCAAATTAGTGTAGAGATCAGCCATCCGGATCCCTGTCCGGCCTGTCTCCATCGGTGTCTCATGCCCCCCAGAGTCGCCTCTGATGTTCTTCGGTGAAGGTGGAGGTAGCATGAACCCCCTGACGGGATCCGACATGTTCCGATTGTGAACGGGGCCTCTCCCACCACCCGGTATGATCATCGGCGCAGTCTCCCCGCTCAGCCGCGATTGCAGGTAGCCACCCGCAAACGTGGGAGGAGACGGCGTGGGAGACGCGTACAATGCCGGTGGCGGCGAGAATTTCGCCTGCTGCCCGGGCGTATACGGCCAGGGAGCAGGTGACGGCGCCCAGCTGTTCGGGCGCCGCGGCGGGAAGGCCGGCGCTGAGCTGGCGGCCTCCGTGAGCGACGCCGGGAAGGCACGCATGGGATCAGCTGCCGGGCTTCCGACGTAATCGGTGATGAGCATGGCGGGCGCGAGGGAGCAGATCTCGAGGTTGAAGGCGGCGAGGGAGGGGAGGTACTGAACGGAGACGACGAGGCGACCGAGCTGGGTCTCGACGGGGGCGAAGCGGCGGGTGCTCATGGCCGCCTCCTCGGCGCGGGTGAAGGGCGCGGCGAAGGAACCGACGCGGAAGCCCATCTCGTAGTTGTACGCCTGGCCGGATGCGCACAGCAGGCGGAAGACGCGGTAGGCGGGGAGGAGGCGGAGCGCGGTGTACACCGACCTCAGCAGCGTGATGCACCGCTTGTACGCCCGGTTCACGGCGAGCCCCTCCCCGGAGGCGGCGGCGCCGCCGCCGCCCCTCGCCCCGGCCGACCACGGCTCGCACGACACCGTCCACCTCTCCACCACCGCCTCAGCTCCCCCACCGCCGCCCGACGGGGTCAGGTAGACATCCACCACGAGCGGCTCCCCGGGGGACGGCTCCGGCAGATGCTCGGCCGACGCCGGCGGCGGCGGCGCGTGGAGCGGCAGGTGGAACCACCTGTCCCGCCTCCGGAACGACGCCGCCGGCGCGGGCGCGGCCGCGAGCGGCCGCGGCGCGCGCACGGCGAGGATGGCGTGCAGCGCCTTGAGGTGGAACTGCGGCACCATCAGCTCGGCGCCCGCCCGGCCACCGCCGCCACCGCCCGCGGAGTCCGACAGGGTCGCCATTGCCGCACACGACACCAACCACCCCCCGCGCCAGTCAAACCCTCCTCCAGGATGCTGCTGCTGCTACAACTCCCCTGCTGCATGGCGGGAGCGCGCGGCAGTGAGACCGCATGAATCCCGCGCGCCCGGAGCGATCGGATTGGAGAGAAGACGGATCTGCGCGCGCGCACGCGTCGGGAATTCAGTTTGGCTTTTGCTCGCGAAGCCCGGATGAGGCGCGGAGGTTTCGTGTGTAGGCAGCAGCGAGGAATTGGGGATTTTTGTGCCTGCTTTTGAATCCGGCTAACGTGTCGCTGTTAGTGTCGTCGCCCGTCACGGTAGAAATTATGATTTGCTATTTTGCATTGCGAGCTTGCAATTAAAAGCCGTGAGATTCTCCTTTTCCTCGTATAATACTAAGACTATTTTTTATGTCACCAAAATTACATAACATTATCAGAAAAATAGTTACTCCATTCGAGTTGATAATATTTGTCGTTTTAGACAAGAGCACGATCTCTAAAAAAAACAATTTGACCTTTTTTTTCATTATAATATATATAAAAGTGTTAACAAATATATGATTTTATTAAAGTATTTTTAAGACTAATTTATACATGTAGTCATCACATTTGATTGACAAATATTTTAAAAGTGATTCATAATTAAATATTCTAAAGTTTGACCTCACACTTGTTAAACGATAAGTATTATCAGCCCGAAAAAAATAGTATTTATTTAGCACATCTCTAAACTCACCAAAATCCTATTGAAACCCCAGCTACGTGTCCATAATACCCATGGACACTAGGATATAAACCATATGAGTAGAGTCATGGATGACTCCACCCCACATCACCAGTATTTTCCATTTATTTAGTTTCTTGATTATGCAAGCATAATTCTTGTCAAATTCAAAATAGGAAGTTCATGTGTTGCTAAGTCTTCTCTAAAAAACCGGATCAATACTAATATTGATCTATTCTTTAAAAAAAGGTAATATTGATCTTGAATTTGAAGCTTCGTTTACTGGAAGAGATAAAGATGCGACGTTGGCATCACCATGTCCTGCAACGGAGCACGTTCGTGGTATGCGCGTTAGGGGCTTGCTTGATGGAATGGAGAAGAGGAAGCTTCAAAGGGATGGATGAATATTTTCCATTGATTCCCGGGGGTTATCTTACATATCCTACAATTGCTTTGGCGTGTGAAGAATCACAAGACACTATTGTTGGTCTCTTAAAACGGAGTACTGCCGCCTACTTGCGTGCTTTGAAGTTTTAGACACCGGATATATATAAATGCCTCTAATTCATAAATTTGACACGGATGTGAGAATATGGTACTTCTATGTGATTGGGATTGTTGTTATAGTTTATTGTTTGGCGTCAAATGAGTATGGGTACAATAATCAACTTTGTTGGTTGTTTTTCTGTTTTGACTTTCTGAGAGTATATTTGTAGCATAGCTAGCTGTGTGCCAAATATAAAAGTGGTGGTGTTGAGTTCATGTACCTGACGGGTTCTTTTTGCAAGTAGAAAACAAATAGATGTTCATGGAAAGCACCTAGAGAGTCCAGTAGACCAGTACTGCCAAAACAATATTTTTACAGAGCAGTTTAAAGAGGGTTTTGCACTGGGAAAATTGGAAACCAAATATAAGAAAAGAGTTCAAATATAATAGCTTTATTTCTGAACACACTTGAGTTGGCCAAAAGCAACAGAAGGACAACACATATAGGCTTGGAGATCAAAGTTGCATCTTAAAGATCGTATCAATATCCAAAACGACGTGTTTTTTTAACTTGAGTGAGTGGATTGTCAATATTGACAGTTGACAGATGCCTAATCCAAATTCCTTTGTTAGGGATAGCAGTAGTGGTAGTAGTACACGACTACACGGGTGTAGAGTTGGACGGCGGTGTGACAAACGTTTCAGGCTCTTAAGCCCCTTCCTCATCCTCTGACGACGTGTTGAATCGTTTATTTAGTTGCGTGACCATCGCAACATGCAGAGCACGGCTGAAACTTTGTGCTGAGGCTCTCGAGTTTCTCAGGAAAGCAAAGAATGAGTAATATTGTAATGAAAGAACATCTTCAGTCTTTTGTTTTTTTTTTCTCAGCAAGCTTTTCCACTGCTGCGCTTATGTTCCACGTTGGTCGTGTTTTTTTCTTTTTATTCACCGAATTAATCAAACTGATTATGTGCTCCATACTTAACAAATTACGCTTTCTTTTAAAGAAAAATTTCTTCTACCGCATTAACCACTTGTTTTAAGTTATTTATTAAATATTCAATTTATCTCTTAATCAGATAGATAATTCGCGATCAACAATAATCTAAATCAAACATGACCAAACATAGTTACATGTTTTACCGGTTCAACAAGACAACAACTCAAAACAAAGGGTGTGGTCTCCCTTTTTTTATAGGCCCACGCTCCTTCCAACCTGCACTGGCTTATGAGTCCACCATGGGTCACACAACAAGTCACAACTCACACGGCTCAGTCGAGAGGAGGAATTAGCTTTAAGCTGGTCCATGGGCCCAATTGGGCCTGAAGCACACTTGGCATTAAACACGATAGTCATATAGGGAATAAGTTCGCTTTATATCCCTCAATTTGTCGCCGAGTCTTAAGTTCATCCCTAAACCGAAATACCAGATATAACATGTCCTTTAACTCCTTAAAACAGTGCAAACTTGATCCCAAGATGGTTTGGATGACGTGACGTTTATATGGTTGATTTGACTGGGTCCTCATCCCACGTGGTGAGGCACTTGCAATCATAAAAAATGGGTGGGACCCACATGATAGTGTTAGATTAAAAATAAAGAATTATTGTGAGACCCACTTCATCACCCCTTCCTCTACGCTCTCTCTCTCTCCCTCCCCTTTGCTCTCCCTTTCCTCATTGTCCCCGACACCAGTGCACGTTGCAGCTGCTGCCGACCCTGCCGACGGGTGTGGGATGCTCGCTCCCCACCATTGGTTGCCTCATCCTCTCCTACGCACTTATGAGGGAAGAAGGCTGGAATCCATTGGGCAATGTTGAACTCGAGCTTCTCCCACGGCTAGGAGTGAACCTCGTCGATAGTGTGGGCCCAGATGCCAAGACGGGCGATGCTCGGCTGCTGCCCTTCTCCACACCTCCCGCCGTGCCTTTCCACGCCGCCCGCTGCGCGCCGCCCTAATGGAGATGGAAGGGAGAGGACGATAGATGGAGAGGAAAGGAAGTAATCGAACAACACAGGCGGAGAATGAACTCCTACACAATGGCGCGAAAGTTGGAGGTGTTGGTGATGAGCACGGTGTTGGGCGGCTGGTAGGATGCTCTCAGACGCTTCAAAAAAGAAATTGGAAAAAATTCTTGTAAGTACTACTTATACAAATTTTGTGATAAAAAAGAGAGAAGGTTAACATAATAGACTCTTATCGTTTGTGCTAGTTGCATTAACACAGCCGTAATAGTTGTACCTGCACAGTTGTAGTTCTTTTTTTTTTCATTGTGGATGTTGTTCCTGTAACTGTTACTAGGGGTGGCAATTTTTCCGTTAGGGCCAGGGCCGGGGGAGAATTTTCACCTGCGGATGAGCGAGGGTGGGGATCGGAATTAACCCACGGGTAACCCGAAGGGGCATCGGATGTGAGTTACTTCCTCCGTTTCATAATGAAAGTCATTCTAGTATTTTTCACATTTATATTGATGTTAATGAATTTATATATATATATGTGTGTGTGTGTATGTATGTATGCATGTCTGTCTGTCTGTTTAGATTTATTAACATCAATATGAATGTGAGAAATGCTAAAATGACTTACATTGTGAAACGGAAGGAGTACCTCTCTGAAAGTAGCCCATTGCAATAATATAGGCCCATTAAACTCATTCCAAATTGACATATAAAAGCTCAAGACGCTAGTTTCCCTCGACCCTTATCTCTTTCCTTACTTCAACCAACCCCCTTCTTACCGTCTACTATTTCGTTGCATCAATTCATCTCCACATCGCCTCGTCGTCGATTCATCTCCACATCGACTCGTCGTCGCCGAGTCACCAAGCAGCCAGCCGCTGTCCAATTTGCCTCGTGCTAATCATTGTCTATTATGCATCATTTCAATTAGAAGATAGACCATATGATGTATCAAGTATGTATATGTGCTTGATCATTTCAATTAGAAGATAGACCATATTATGCATCATTTCAATTAGAAGATAGACCATATGATGTATGCATATGACCTTGATCATGTGCTTTATGTATTTGTGTACTGACCGATGAGTATACATTGCTATTGAAATTTTGAAATTTTATCATATTATTATTAGGTGCATTGTCCTATTTTTATGGAGTATTATCTTTATCCGGGTGATGCGGGGCCCAAGTCACCCGTGCGGGTCACCTACGGGGACGGGTGATGTTTTCCACCTGATTGCCTTCGCGTGACCGGGGCTGAGGATACCTACAGGAGGATGGGGGCGGGGGCATTCCAGCCCAACCCGACCCTGCCCCGCCCTGTTGCCACCCCTAAGTGTAATGCAGCGGCAAGTAGCACAACTAAACAACCCCATATTCTCAAGCCAAACTAATAATGGATTAAAAATGACCAAAAGAAAAGAGAATAGTGAAGATTCTTTATTGCTGGAATGTAAAAAGTATAGCAAAATTCATGTCAAATTTTCTTACATTACATCAATACGTAGTTCTATATGTTCGAAATGCCTCCAACATACTCCCTCAATTCCAAATTGATCTACATATTTCATAGGTACACCAAGACCAAGAAAAGCTAATAACTCTCTCATATTATATTTACTCTAGCAACAAACTCAATGCATGCACCATCCCTACTATTTTCTAGCCAATAGCAAATCAAGATATTGCATGTGGGTTATAAATGCTTGTGTGCATGGATGCATGCATCAATGTCCATTTACTCCAATGCACAAATAACAAATAGACCTAATGAATGAACACAAATATGTATATCATTTAGAAATAACCTAAAAAAACTATATGTAGATCAATTTGAAATGGAGGGAGTATTCTTGTAGTTATCCTAAATTTCCTCTTGATTTTCTACTGCGTTTTCCCTTTTTTTTCCCCTTCCAAACAGTTCACAATAACCGCAGCTTACCATGTGGTTACCGTCTGAAATCGCGAGTAACTATCTCAAAACTATGGAACCACTGTCAGATCAAAATAATTTGTTTAAAATTTTGACGAATTTTATACGGTTTTTCACAGCTACCGAGCAACACCCATAATATCGTGAAGGTCGATAACCCCCGCTGAAATAGTATGGAAAAACGATGGATTAGACATCCGGCTGAGGTACTATTGCCTCAAAACCTCAAAATGTGGATGCCGTAAAGATTAATTCTCCGGGTTTCATAATTCTTGATATTTTGAACAATGAAACGGCCTTTAAAACATATTTTTAACTATATTTTTCTATTTATAATATATACAATAAATAAACATTTTTTTATTTTTATTATAGTACTTTGTGAAATAAATCTATATATGTTATTCTAGTGATTATAAACAAAATAAATTTTAAAGCCATTGATAGTTATAAAAGTTTGTTCTCATGTTCATCAAGAATTATCAAACCAAAGAGAGTAAAACCTACTCCAGCTTGTAAAAATACACTCCAGTCACATGCGGCATTCTCTTCGGCATTTCTAGTAAGCACAGTTATATCAAGCGGATCTACAAGCAAAATACGAGAAACTAGCACACGTTATACAACACAACACCGATTGGCTCTGCGGCGATATAATGTCAGCAGCAATCAAAGACCGGCGGCGGCTGGGCAGAAACATGCACGAGGCCGGCAACACAAAGGGCGCAAACGGACGCCACCATCAATTTTGTGCTTCCTAAAATCCTATGGACAATCAGAACATGCAGATACACCAAGATCGAAAAGGGGAAAAAATAAAAGGAGAAAAAACAAAAGATCCTTTGGTCAGTCGCATCGTCGTGTCAGCCTTGTTTCGTGTGTGGTCGATCCAAATCAGGCGAACGAAGGGATCCCGTATCTCCAGCCGTTGGAGGATCGCCGCCGGGTCGGCTGCTGCTGCGGCGCGAAGCTGAGCCCGAACATCTCCTTGAGAACTTGGCCTGGCTCCTGGAGCCCGATCAGCTTGGCGACCAGGGACGCGCTCTCCCTGACATGCTCCAGGTCTTTCGTCTCGGTCCAGAGGCGGCGAGCGACCTGCAGTTTCCTCCTCTTGGAGTCCAGCGAGACACCCCATTTTGTGTACGTGTGCTCCCTCTCCTCCGTGGACAGCCGCTTCTGCATCTGCCTGGCAAGCATCTCCCTCTCCCGCTGCAGCTTCTTTGCGCTGCATTACAGCAGAGCACGGGGCTTATGAGTTGCTCGTGATGGTTTGGCGCTAATTTTAAGGTTATGGCACAAAAGAAGTGAATGAATGGAAACGAGTAATTTACGCACCTCGCAACAGGGGAAGTACTCAGGCTGCCTACTATCGCATTGCTAGGGGTGCTCCCCCTTGAGTATGTATCTCTCAGGAATGATAGCCTTCGAAGCTCCACTTCCATGTAGATCGAGTCAGCTGCTTCTCCCTTGAATAGCAAGAAAAAGTAAGTCCTGTGGACCAAGGAAATGCTGCAAGCTTGCCAAAGCTCGATGATCTCTTGCTGCTTCTTCTCGAATTCCAAAGGCCATCGAGAAGGTGACTGAGAAACACCCTCGATCGGGTCCAATCCGATGCTCTTTCCATTTGCATTCTAAAACATGGATGAAATGCCAATAATTTAATTACTTGCTGAAGCATAGAAAAAGAAGTATTCAGCAGAAAACACTATTTATTTTAGATTATTAGTTGGAATGCTAATGGTATGTGGCTTTTGAGGGGTGGGAGAAATTGTTGAAATTCTATGATAGAGTCCCAAGAGCCAGGATGTTAAACCGAAGCAATACTATATATAAGCATGTATTTTCCAAACCAGCATCACATAATCACATTTTTCTTGAATAAAACAATAATTAAATGAACTGCAGAGCTAAGTGCCCTCAAAGCTAATTAGATATTTTCATACCTGGTCACCTAACTGCTTCTGATAATGAACCTGGGCCATCTCTTTGAGTTCAGCAACAAATTCACCAATACCAGTGAATTCTGTATCGCATGCAACAGACCCATTTGTCTTTGCATCCTTAAAAGTGCTGATCTCAGAACTCATGGATCCTGCCCTTGAAAGTGTGTCGGTCTCTGCATCATAGTGCAGTGCAGATCCTCTTCTATGAGATTCCACAGGTCTTCCTGGGAACTCCACCAAACTTCTATTTAGTGGAGTGCAATCATCCATCTCCATATCGTCAAACATAGTAGAACCTGTCAGTGATCTACAGCTCCTGCTTCTACCAATTACTCTTAAGTTTGATGAGTTACGTGTTGAAGATCCTAGATCTTTGGCTAGACTGACAAAAGGCCTTCTAATATTCTCCAAGTGTTCCTCCAAAGTAATAGGAGCTTCGCCAGAGGGCCTTGAATGCCTAGAATTCACTGATGCATTTGAATCATTTCCATGCAAACCAGAATTCATATTTGAATCTTGTGGGCTACTACTTTCACCAGCTGATAAGTCCAACTGGTCATTTCCTCCTGTCCGATTGCTTTCAATACATCGCACTTCCTTGTAAAGATCTGAATCATCATGAGAGACCTGAGAACTATCATCTCTGCTGACGCTTGGGGGCATTCCAACAGATGGAGGGCTTCTGACTGAATGCTTTCCTTGAACCTAAAATATAAACAAAACAAACATGACCCTGCCGGAACAACGAGATGAAACAAAACTAAATTTCAGAAGTCATGGCAGAGAATATACTTGACGGTTCAGGTCATGATCACCGACAGATTGCAGCAAATCCTGCAACCTGGATTGAGCCAAATCACGTTGTGACTTCAGTTCTTTTATTTCTTTCTCCATCTGCAATGGACATGACATGAAATTTTATGGATGTGTGCAACAGAAACAACAAACTTTTTTTGTCAAGTAGAATAGTGTGGAAATACTCGTAATGGACAAGGCAAAAGTGGCAGCAAGTAAGATAGACCAGATGCACACAAAAACAATAGTTTTCTGCAAATTCCAGTATGAGCCGTGGAGGAGAAAACAGGGAGGTAAGAAAAGTGACAAGTAACTTTACCTTTCTGATTTGGTTGTCCTTTTCCTTCAATAATGTTTCGAGACTGGAACTCTGAACTGGATGCCGCAACTCGCTCTCCAATCTAGCAAGTTCCTTTTGCAAGTGCTTAACCAGTGCTTTATCAGACATGACCACATTAACCTGAGCATTTGTAACTACTTCCTTTGCACAACTCCCAAATAGCAGAGTATTTCTTGATTGCTCAATGTGGCTAGTGGCAGGGCTCAGTGTACAAATAATTGCAGTTCTTGCATTACCTCCCAAAGATGGCTGTAGTATGCGTGTAAGCTTTGAATCTCTATACGGTATGTGTGCATTACTTCCCATGCTGCATTAATGAAAAGATATAACTGATATCACTTGGGCGAAATTCCAAGCAAACATTACTGTAAACATCCCACTTTATTGTACACTATATAAAATCCCAAAAGAAAATACATATGCATAAAGCATGCTTAAATATGTCAGCACACAAAAAATTGTGCAAAACATGACATGTACTACACAAAATAAAATGATATATATTATCTGTTATCAAACAAATGCAACCCTATTGCCTTTTTATGTTTTACATATCTAACAATATTTTTGCACAAATTCTGTGCACATAATACATGCTCCAAATATATATCTTTCCTAGAATTCTCTAAAGCGACAAGTGTGAAATCAAAACATATATGGAGCTACATGACTACAGCCATCCTTAAAAAATCATACTCTGTCAAGCAACAAACTATTCTCTAAATAAGACAACCAAATTTTCCTATAATGTGGATTGAACTAAATAAAATTGCACAGTTTCAAGTTGAGATTCGGACCTCAGTTTTCTAATGACAGTGCCAAGGGCAAGCAAACTCCTATTAATGTGACAACCTTCTTTCAGTCTTGTGCCAGCTGACAATGCCTGAGATGCACGCTCACTTCCAGCCAGATCAACAAAGTTCTGCATGGGGAGAAATGGAGAATGAATAATGCATGCACCTAATTTTTCCAATAAAAAGAACTCCATGATAGACTTGTAAGATGTTATTCTTACTGCACTAGCCACAAGTGTAGTTGACTTGTCCTTTCCTAAGAACTCGCGAGCAGAGCTTTCAACTGTCTGAATTGCTTGACAAATACATCAGCCAAAATGAAGCATAGACTCAAAGATAACAATTTATACCAAAGTACTACCTCCGTCCCAAAATAAGCGCAGCCATGAGTTTCTGCGCCCAATTTTGATCGTCCGTCTTATTTGAAATTTTTTTATAATTAGCATTTTTATTGTTATGAGATGATAAAACATAAATAGTACTTTACTCGTGACTTCTGTTTTTAATTTTTTTTAAAAAAGTTTTCAAATAAGAGGCACAGAAAACCATGGCTGCACTTATTTTGGGACGGAGGGAGTAATTCATAGATTTGAGTAAAGAACAAACCAATCGAAGTATCTGATGGGATCTAGAACTTTTTTCGTTTAAGAAGGTCTCCCCAAAATTTGCTTGAGGAGGTATAGAATATTCTCGTCTGCGCCAGCAGCTTATAATCGAAGTATGACACAAACTTTTTTTTTGTATTGCTCTCATGTAATTCAGGATTTTTGATCACTTGATATATATATATCTAAATTTATTCCCCTGTTACCAATTTTTCTCTCCATGGCAACGAGATCTGATTGGAATAATTCAATTTTTCTTCACGAGGTCTTTTACCTTTGCACTGTTTACTAGCCTGCCAGACCACTCCTGTTTGGTTTGGTGGTGAAGTGGTGAACACCTTTTCTCAAAAAGCCAAAAAAGTTCTTTTAAGCTTGACACTTTATTAGTTGCTGAACTAGGTAGGTTGTTACTGTACTGTAGTAGCCATTATTTTTTCCTGTTCATATGCTAACATTTTGTTGATGTTAGTATTTCTGATGGAAACTGGCATTTGTGTTATAACAGGAGCTGGGAGTACTGCAGTTCTCGTCTTATACTAGGCTACTAGCACTCCTCTGATCTGATGGCCAACATTAACATGGCAGATACTGCTCCTTCCTGTGATACTTACCTGTTGAATTATTGTTAATATCTTGGTAATCCTCTTAGAGACTTAGACCAGAGGAGAAAAGAGGAATCTGGAGGTCACCGCCAGGAAAACGCTACGGACAACATGGGCGGCAGATGGGGTGGGAGCTACCCAGATCTGCGCCGACGGTGGCGGCCGAAGAAGAAGAGGAGAAGACGACGGTTGGGGAGAGAGCCATCCTCCATTCGCGCGATGGCGGTGGCCAGGTAGGATCATGGATTCAGATTTTTATGCCATCGATTTCCTGGTTTGCTCTTCGTTTACTAATCATATGAATTAATATGCATGTAAAATGACTCTGCCTGCTCCACCATGATTATGATGAATAAGAGCAATACCGGCTTCGGCCAATAGGAGTTTTCTCTACATCAGTCCCTAGGAAGATGCGATTGTAGGCGTTTAGTTCTCGGTAGCCACAATACTAGACAGGACACGCTGATATGAATCATATCTGAAAGATCTCAAAAATAAAGGATCCTTTGAGGACGCGTCCCGGAGGCTCCGGGTGCTCCACACCGTGGAGACCGCCGGGGTGTTCGACATGGTGGCGCGGTGGCGCCTCTTCTCATGCAGGCCGATGCCCACGGCCGCCTCGTGCTCTGGTGCCTGGAGCAGGAGGACGGGTCGGACAAAGGTGTTGTTTTTCTTCTTGCATTTGCCTTAGCGTAGGAACAAAAAGGTTGTTTATTGTGCCAAAATCGAATCACTACCTACTTGCTAAGCTTCCATGAAATACGCAGCAATGTTCATAAATTTTTGACTGAACGTAGTGATGTAGAAGGCAAATGTTAAGTTCTTATGCTTCTGAAAGTGTTCTATCATCCATGTGAATGTTGCACGATATGGTACCGTCTCAATCCTTTTTCGAGTAGTACACTGCTATGTACTTGCCGTAAAAATTATTTCCATAATCTCTTATCGATTTTCTTATCGTATATGGAGCTTTATTGTACATATGAAGGTATAGCGTATTCGTATATTCCATGACTCGTACACCACCTTACAATGGAAGCTATTGTAAAGTGGTTTTAGAAACGATAATACTAATTTCTCAGGCGTGGAGACCGCTGGAGTGTTTATTTTTTCAAAATAACTTTTTTTAGATAATAATCACACAAAATAACTAAATGTATTTAACTTATTTCCTGTAAGTACTGGTAATTTTGCCACCTACTGTGCTTAAACCAAGCCTGGATACACCTTTTTTTTTTTTTGCTTTGGATACACTTAAATGACGTTCACCAAAGATCGTCACCACCTGCGGACGGGATCTAGACATGAGAAGTTCCGGCTATAGCTCTATGTTAAGGATTGTGGGAAGGAGCTTTTTACTCTAAAAGTTCTGCTTCAATCTTTTGCTCAAGGTACTAGATTAAAGGCTAACTATCAAAAATCATGTTTAATCCCTAAAAACTTGAGTGATGGAAAAGATGAGATGCTTGCTAGGGTTTTTGTCTCGGAAAGAAACCTAGAGGGAACCACTTAACCGATGGAACACTGATGCTAATTTCCCGACATTTTTCAAATTAAGGAGTATAGTTTTTCAAATCTGGGCATAATTCACGATATGCTGATGTATTGTGAATCAGGCGAGTATAGTTTTTCAAATCTTAAACGCCGTGGTCTCTTGGGAATTAGACAGTCTCCATATCAGAAACCAAGCAGAGTTCTCAATCTATTCAGGTCCTATCAAAGCTATATTAAACGAAGATCAATTTTTATAGGACTAGAGAAATTTGCTATGCAAATGCCGGTCACTGGCCTTATCCATACTAAGTGCTCTAGTAACTAATAACTATGGCGTGGTGTCTAGGTTAGAGATTATCTTTGTTTGTTGTGTATCCCACGGATTTGTCAGAGGTAGGCGGCAGGTGGTGAAACTTGAGAATATGTTGGGAGGAGTAAAACGTACGTACATACTATATACGCACGTACGGCTGGAGGGGTGGGAGGATAGTTGATTTCTTTTGATAGATTTAATTAGTTTTGTGTTATCTATAACAGATCTAATGGCATAAATAATGGGCCCACTGATTTAAGTGAAAATCAATGGTGGGTTATTTTTAGAAATTTTTAATATTTTTTAATTTACTAAAATACCACATGCCACATGGCGGCTTGAGAGCGTTTATAGGATGTCTATGTGGTGGCTTGAGAGTGTTTGTAAGAAGTTTCACGGACTTGATGCTGCAACCTTCAATATACCTTTCTAGATTTTAATATAATACTAGTCCATCTCTTAACACTAGTCCACACTATTAATATTATTTAAACTTTTAAATATTTTTATAAATTATAATATATTTCATATAAAATAAACTAATTATATATGATGTTATTTGTATACCTTCTGATATGATTCATATCAGCAGGGAGATTGCTCTAAAATATTCTAGCATAATTCTCAAGCCATATCATAGTCGAGTGGAGCTAAGATAACAAGATAGGGAATACTAGACACCGTGGAGACCGCCGGGGTAAACTAGACTTCTTAAACGAAAAGGGACATGAACTAGCGCGCGAGAAGAGCAATACAGGACATAGTCGAGTGGCTTATAATGAAGTTAACGGTCAACTGACAGTGGACTGATGGCAATGGCATAAAAGGGAGGAGAAACTTGAACCGGTGGCATAAAAAGGAGAAGCCAATTTGAAGTGGTATATAAGGGAGCCGATTAATTTAGAGTGGCATATAAGGGATTCTCTCTTAATCCAAGCCCTTCATTTATTTTCCAATCCCAATCTCAACCCTCATTTCTCATTATCCAAACACACCCTAATTGTGTCGTCATATTTCTAGTTAGTACTAGATTTCAGTCAGATTTTTGTGCATTGGATTTGTGTTAAGACCCGTGCTTGAGGTTGAAAGGCCGTTGGATCTGTGTTGATGTAGGCCGGTCGGGGCTGATGTTACGGGACATTATGAAGTTCAATTGGCAAAATTTACTACATGACACTCAAAAAAACGTGTAATTGGCTGTGAGACACCGCAAAAAACGTGACACAGCTGATGGACACTAGAAAAAATATGTATGAGCTATAGGAAACTTTCGTGGTGCTGAGCTGCATCCTCTGTCCGGGAGAAGCTCGCTGCTGATTTCAACCACATCCTCCAAAACTTCGCCTCAGCAAACTTCGTCGTGGGAGGAAATTCACCAGGTGACACCTCCAGCCAGATTTGGCATGACCTTGGCAGCATCAACCACCTCTGTTGGGATAGGAGACGGTGACGACTGCTAGGAGGATGTGGGGTGGGGGGTGGGAAGCATGGTGAAGGCAGAGGTGGTGCAGCGGGAGAGGATCTTCTGATGTCACTGTTCACCGTGCCTGACATGTGGACCCAAGACAGCCACCAAATTAGTGGAAGTTACTTATATTGGGATTAGCTTTTGATTTTACCCTGGTTTTCCTATATATATGAGTTATATTTTGGTATAGTATAGTATAGTAAGTATGATTGTATGAAATGGTTTAATTTCAGGATAGAGAAGGCTTAAGTTTGGAGTTTTTTTGAGCGTGTGAAATGTGCTTTGGTAAAGGTAGAGTGCTCATATGTCCTTTTTGTCCTCTATTCAATTTTTTTTTGTATTTTCTTTCTCTCTGTATTTAATTTTTGTGGTTACCATTATATGTACTAGTATATTAGCCTTTTTGCTGCTACTCTAATAATTTGGTGATGAGAAAATATGTGGCCACCAAATTAGTGGAAGTTACGCTAAAGGAGCTTAATCCGGTGCAGTAGCGGCGACTGGCATGCGGTGGTAAAAGTGGCCACACGGGCACATGGGGGCGTGCTGATGCATGAGCTGCTAATGTTGGAGGCTAGGATTAGGATGGAATAGGGTGGGGAGTATATAGCTGATGGGCTTAGTTCTGTTTCCTGGACCTGTGATAGGTTACTGGGTCAAATTTTCCAAACTCAGTGTTCGGTCAGATCGGATACCGACAAAGAAGACCGAAGCACCGGAAAAAGAAGAGGGAATAGAAAAGGAAGGAGAAGGGTTAATGCAAAATATAAGTACATTGTGACTATGTGATAGATAATTATTTATGTGGATGGATGAGTAGTCTTGATGGTTCCCTAGTTTCTTGGTCCTCCAGTACTTTTACCTTCTCATTTTAATTTATTACTGCACAAAACATATCTTCTTCAATTCGTCCTCTTAATCCAAATTGGTTGCGCATCTCTCTCACACACACACACAATCGGGGTACATATACATTGCTTTTTTCTTGGATGGAGGAGGGCCATCTGTTAGATGGATCTCCCTCCCCTTGAGCCCAACGGCTCAAGGGGGCCTTGACCCGCGCCCTGATCGGGGGCGCCCAGCCCAATGGCTGGTGGGCCCCCGTCACACTGTGCCATATAAAGAGGGGTGGAGGACGGGACGGAAAGAAGGACACAAGGAACGAGGTTCGTCGCCGCCGCCGCCACTCCACCCCATAAACCCTAACCGATCGAGGGGGCGCAGCCAGTGACGGGAAGTCCACCGCCGCGCCACGCCTCGTCGTTGACACCGTCGCTGCTGCAACCGCATCACCGTCGCCGTCACGACCGCCATCGCCGCCGCCGCCCACGTCAAGCAGAGCGAC